TTGAAAGTTTGGCTAAAGCATAAATGCATAGATAAAACTAGGAAGACCGTCTGTACCAGATGTTATTTTGTTTTAAGTTTTTTGGACGCTTTTATTATATCTTCTTGAGCGATATGTCAATTTTCTATATTAATATTATTTGATGTTGTTGAAGCATTTACCTGTAGTGGGTCAGGCTTTGTAAAGACGTCAGAAAAAAAAATGTTAAGATACCGTCTATAATTGCTTGAGGGTTATCGTGTGTATTATTCACATATGACAGCTACCGGGAATCCTTGTATTTTGACGTTTGTGATGTATAAATGACCAAAACTTCTCAGGACTTTGAAAAATCGTGTCTTCGATCTTTTGAATGTAGGGATCATAGACAATTTTAATCTTTCTTTTAGAACGGAATAGCTTAAACTCATCATTGTACTATTCGCATTTATGTTTTATATAAAGTTTTCGTCATCAATTCAATCTTCGTATATCAGAAGTAATATCAGGGTTATTTCGTGGAGGATAATGATGGGATCGACTTTTATACACCGGAACACACGTTTTTTAAATATTATTGAGAATTTCATAAAATCTTCCATAAATTTGGTCAACATCCTGATACGTTTCTAGGAACAACTAATCTGTATTAGTCAATAGGGGAAAATTAGCACGTCTAAAATTGTACTGCATCTTCATGGTTGAAGGAAAAGTTTGTGGTGGTAACGATTGAAATTTGAAATTTAATGATGAATGCTGGATATGATTATCTACTATTACTAATAGACTATCGAATTTGGTAACACTACAGCTAAAATTTGCTAATACTTAATCGAAAAGTCGGTCTTAAAGTATTATTATATTGATGAAAATCGAAAATGTACAAAAATTATTAAGTATTTTACATTTTCCATCACCATTATTTAAAACAAACTTGGGTGAATTGAAATCGCAATATTTTTCAGTTATCATTAATAAAAGATTCAAAAAGGAGGAATATAAATTGAAAATATGAGAAGTAAGACAGTATCAAGAACAATTTTACAACCAACGAAAACAATGTTAGTAAATATCATTTCTGATATTTTCCGTATTAAATGCAACAACTTTGTACGTGTTACTGACTGCTATAAGTGGTTTCGCCACCATTAGATAAACCAGTAGCAATAAAATTACGGTCACATCCAAAAACTTAGTAATAATCAGAAAAGCAATTGGATTCAAACATAAAACCCATAAAACAATAAAATAAAAAACAAAAAAGTTACGAGAAGAAAGCTTGCAAAAGAGATCTCATGAGTTAGAGAGTCCGGACCTGCGTTAAAAGCCCCCATAAGTTGATGCATTTCTAGATAATGATTATGATTACATACAATTTGTCAACTTTTTACACTCTCGTATGTTCAACGATTTGATTAAATTGGAAGAATACTGTTGAAAATTGTTGAAGGATTCTTAAAGACGAGTTTTTCGAAAAATTCTGCATTACTCGAAGTTTTTAGACTAATTGAGGTTCTGTCGAATTACGAAATCGTTTATTTCGCTTAATCGCCGTGGACAGCAAAGATGCCGAGGTTTATTTAAGGTTGTTTATTATTTTCTCACCTTTTTTGGTATGTCTCTTATTAACTAGTGCGCGGTGGCGGTAACTGGGATAGAGATGTATAACTGTAGATGTAACTATACGCAGATCACATTTTTTTTAATCGGGTTTCGCTATATTGGTTAGACACATTTCATTGTCTCTATATTACTACCTTAAATTTAATGTTTACATTTTATTGCCGACTATTACCTACTATTACTATTTTTAGTTGGAATCTAATATAATTACTTAATAGTAAACTCACAATCTGCTGTGGACGCACCTTTAGTATATCATAGATTGAAAGGATATATAGACTCTTTAATAGAAAAACCGTTGCACGTAATCAATGTAGTACTTTTTTTTGTTGAGGGGAAACCGCTTGGCACCAATCGCTGAGTCTATGCAGTTGGTAGTGCCACCGACTGAAATCCCTCGTTCCACCCTGGGACCACCTTTCGGCATTTCATCAAGGTGGGGACTTCGTTTTTTGGGTTTAGATATTTTCTATTTCACTCTTTCTTTATATTTCTCCCATTTCCTGGAAATCCCTTTCTTCCTCCTCTTTTCTTTTCATTATTTTCCTAATGTTTTCCGCTATTTTATTCCAATTTCTCTGGTGATCCATCATTTTTCCCACGATATTTTGCGGTAAAAGGTCTAGTTCCATACTAATTTCCCTGTAATGTCTCCACCTGACGCATGAGAAGACCATGTGTTCTGGTGGGTCAGTCTCTCCGCAATACATAAAATTTGAGTCACTGGCTTTCCCTATCCTGAATATGTAGCTTTTAAATGAGCTATGTCCACTTAGAAACTGCGTTATGTAGTAGTCCGTTCTTTTGTGTTTACATTGTAGCCAGGAATATAATCTTGGAATCAGCGTCTTTGTCCATTGTGCCGTTGATAGAATACGGAGGTCTGTCATTCTTCCTGCCACATGGCTATTGAGTTATCCTTTTCTACCATTTTGGTTATATCGTTCATTTCCTCACCTTTTTTTTTCCTCGAGTGAAGCTTTCACCATTAATGTAACCATTAATGTAATTGGTACAATTCCCGCTATTACGTTGACCGCCTCTCTAGATATTGTTCGATAGGCACAGGATACTTTGATCAACAATTTTCTCTGTGAGCTCTGGATCATTTTACTGTAAGTTTTGATCTTAGTTATACTGTGCCATATCGGTGCTCCGTACAGGAGAATTTAGTGTACGAGGCTTAGTATTTCCCTCTTAGCTTGAGATGGGCATCAGCCTTACCAAAGCTGCATAGAATTTATCCGCCTTTTCCACAGTCTTCCTAATATATTCGTTGTATATCAGCTTATCATCGAAGTAAATTCCAAGATATTTTGCATTTCTAATAGGTGTTATTACTGCGTACCGTACGTTGAAGGTTATACTTACTCTGTTTCTTGGTCCCCTAAATATGGTAGTCTTTTGCTTAGCCAGCATCTATCCAGTAGCATATTTGGATTATTGATGTATTTCGCAATCTATCGGCAGTTGGCGTTGCAGTATGTCGTCCTATATAATGTTCTACTGGGTTGGACTGAGAACGGAACCCTGGGAACACCCTGGGTCATTTTCTGCTGTATCCTGTGACTGATATTTGTCTATTCTGAAAATAACTTCTGATTAGTTTTGTTAGCCATTTTGGCGTGCCGTTGTCTTCGAGTTTTCTGTTAATTAGGTGCTGTTTTGCCGTGTTGAATGCGTTCTTAATGTCTAGGCTTACAATAGCTTGACAATAGTGGTCCGTGTTTCTAGTGATCGCTTCGACTGCTTCCATAGTAGATTTCCCTTTCCTAAAACTGTATTGGGAGTCAGAGATTGTAGTGTATTCCTCTATTTTTTTTTCTTAATTAGGTATTCTAGGAGCTTACCTAGTACGTCTAGAATATAGATAGGCCTGCATTTATGTTCTTTCGGTTTCCCTTTAGAGATGAGTACAACTCTGGCTTTTTTCCATGTCGTGGGGAATTTTTGTGTGCTGGCTATTTTGTTGTATACACTGAAGAGCTCATTTGGTATTTGTCTGGCTGCCGCCTTTACTATCTCCGGGATAATGCCGTCCGGACCTGGTGATTTGCCTGTTTTTATCTTATCAGAGGCGTCTTTTAGATATTTCGTAGTAAATGTGCCATGGTCTTGTGTTTTCTGCCAATCTTCCCCCTCCGGTTGCCAGTCGGGGAAAAGCTCGTCTATAACCCTCCTTTTTTCTTCATTCATTTCATATAGTTGGCTGTTATTTTTGATAACTCTTCATTCCACCAGTATGATGTGTTGCGTTGTGGGCCCTCTGTGTGTATCTGGTCTCACTGGATTGCTGGGTAAATTTGAGTGCTTTGGTTAATTTTCCTGGTACTTCGCCTATATTGTGTCTTAGCAAGTCTGGTGAGTTTTTCAGGTTTTCTGTGTCAATCTGTATTTTGGGTCTTTATAGCTCGCTTGTTCCCGTTTCGACCACCTTAAACATAATGAATATATGCCGGCTTAATGATTCTTCGAGTAATACCGTCCAATTTTGTATTTTTCTGGAGGACCTTTCTGATGCTATGGTTAAATCTATGTAAGATGCACTTGTTCCTCCGATAAATGTAGGTGTTTGGCCGTTATTTATAACTTATAATTAGTGTAGCCATTCATTGCTCCATGTATGTGCCCCTTCCATCTATTACATTTGGACTCCAGAGCCTCGATTTTGCGTTAAAGTCCCCGATGATTATGCGGTTTGTATTATTTGTTCCCCATCTTCCATGATCTCGTCTATCTTCCCCTCAAAGTCCACTGTTGGGATATTCGGTGAGATATAGCAGTTATAAAAGATCGTTTCATTTATATTTACATATCCTGTTTTGCATGAGTGTTCCAGTATGCCTTCGTTTCTATTTCTAATATAGACTGCTACCTTTCCTAGAGACTGAGATTAGTCCCATGTTTGTAACGTTCTTTTTGTTTGGCTCTTGTAGAAATATAATATCTATATCGTGACTTTCTGCTATAGCTGTGGCAACGTCGTGTGCCTCCTTGGCACGTCCGATGTTAACTTGGACATTATATAAATATTAATGTGTTTGCTTTGTGCTATCCATTACAGCTACCGTGGCACGGGCCTCATTCACTAGTTCTCGAATTGTCTGCTGAAGGAATCTTCAGAGGTAGTGGGCTCTTCTTTTTCCTCCTGTTGTTGTCTGTCTTCGTGGGCTCTTTTGGTTGTAGGTGCCACAAAGTTCTCATTTTTATCCTCCAGTCTAGCATTCTTAAGGGCGATTTTAAATTTTGGGCACCTCATGGTGCCCATTTTATGACCTGCCTCTGTACATAGCTGTGATCGATCTGTTCACCTTTAAATCAGTCTTTGGATTGGTTTGGGCCATTATATGTGTCAGAATAGTTGTCGTATGACCAACACTTCTGGCATCTTCTGATATTTAATCTCTTCTTAACCCTATACATTTGACTAGACCCACCCGCAGGGAGCCTTCCTTCAAAATTTTATCAGGGTCGTTTGATTTTAGAGTGAGGATTGCTGCTAGGATATCATTGCTAAGTGGACGGAGTTCGCTTATCTTATTATTGTCTTTCCATTTGCCCGTGATTTCTATAATCGATTGTTTAATGTCTTCTAGGGTAGTGTCTGCGTCCATCCCTCTCAGATGTATGGTTGTACTCTTCTCTAGTCCTAGCCTCCTTGTACTATCTTTCAGAGCGTTGTGTAAGTTATTGAGGACTGTTTGATCTTTTTCTATCGTAAGTAATCGTTTCATGTCCTTTGGCTTCTCATGCCTCTCATGGCTTTGACTGATGAATTACTTCAAACGATAGTCTTGACCCTGTCTAGGACTTCCTTGTATGTTTTCTCTATTGGTTCTAGTGTGTATTTTTCTAGCCATTTTGTTACGCTTTCTCTTTCGAATTCCTTGTTATGTTGGACCATTTTCTTTGTAAATTTTTTGATTTTCCGCTCATTTTTTCTAGCATATCAATTAGCATTTTGTTCCTTTCTATGGCTTCGTTTAGAATAAAAGCTTCTACACTTTCACTTTGCTTATATATATATCCAGCGTAGAGTCTAGTATAGAGGTGTTCTTATTTTTCCTTTTTTTTGTCTGGTAATGATATAGAGTTGCATCTTCTAAATTGTCCTCCGAGTATGTTGAACCGACTGTGTTTTGGATTCGCTACATCGGTTTTTGGTATTCTTTCGTTATGTTTTGTGTCTGTCAACACATTGTTTATTCCTCCAGAGTTTGGGGTATAATCCTCCCAATTAAGTACCCTTCAGATGCTCTGACTAAACTTAAAATCTAATCCATTCATTAGGGGATGGATTACAGCTTAAATTTTTAAATTTATTGTTTTTCTCTTTATCTATTTTTGAGTTTTCTTCAAAATTTGAATGTTGTACTTTTCCTCAAATACCTCGAATACAGCCCATTTTGGGAAAATCATATAAATGATACAGATACACAGACATACAGATATCATCGCGAAAATAGTCAAAACATATTCAGGGGACGCAAAAACGTAAAAATCCGTCGAAAACTAGAGGTCAAAAAAAAATTAACATTCCTATACTTTCAAAATATGACGTAAAAATTCCCAGGAAATCCTCAAACAAATCCCAATATCATCCCTCTAAAATAATAAAAAACTTGTAAAATTTGAACAAGTTTGATGTAAAGAAATGAAAAATAAACGAGCCGTAAATCAAGGTAGCGCAAATAAGAACAACATTATTACATTTGAAGAATGTGTGTAACGATACAAAATTAATAATAAATTAAAGTCGGTTCGACTTAGAAATAGTTTTTTTTTCGGACAAGCATGAGAAAATACCTCAAGAATCATACACTTAATAACAGATATCAATCAATGTGTCTAAACCAACTTCGATGTTCGGATTTAACGAGATTGGACAGGTGGACTCGATTCCCATATTGTATATGTATCTATAATATTGCGATGGATTCCAATACGGCGGAATTTTAAAAATAACTATAAGAAATTCCATAGCGTTGATAGATTACAAAGGCGATTCTCACTAACGAGAAGTGTTTGTAAGTTATATATTACACAGGGTGTTTAAACAAATTCGAAAGTTTAAAGCAACGACAAACAACTAAGTAATATAGTAAAACAAAATATACCCTATACGCTAGGTAACATCTTGTGTTTTTGAGAAGTCCCCGATATATTTTTGTAACATTATATTGAAGATCTTTTGGTTACCAGGCCTAAAAATTGCCAGTTTAGTTTTTATACAGGGTGGTGGTATGGTTACAACTATACACACATGACATTAGAGTGTTCCACATACACTTGTGTTTTTATCTACTTAATATATCTGTTTTTTTTTTCATTTTGTCGCTGTTCAATAAAGCTCAGAATATAGCTGTATAATAGTTGTTGTTTAGATTATACAGGGTGGTCCAAAATATCAGCGTGCAACAAAAAAGTTAGAGGTAGAAATCTCTTAAAATATATTATACATATTATAGGGATTATTGAACTGGTTTGTCTGACATTTACATAAGGAGCAACACGCTAACCCAGTGCTTCTACAACCACAACAGGAAAGTAAAACAATTGTAGATGAAGATTCAAGAATTATTTCAAAATAAAATTCAAGAAAAATTACAAGAAAAATTACAAGAAAAATTTCAAGGAAAGTTATAAGAAAAATTTTAAGAAAAAGTCAGTTATAGTCATCACTATATAAATAAATATTGACCTGTAAACAGCTGTTCCCCATTTTAGCCTTCCTCCGACCTCAAGATTATCATCAAATAAAGAAAAACTTAAAAACCTAGAAACAAATCACTTCCAGTAGTGATCAAATCAGACTAGTTGAACTAAATGAATGAATTCATCGAATTATATATATCCTACTGTAATCTTACATCGGTAAATAATTACCTATTTTGGAAAACGTCTGAACAAAAAATGATGAATATGTAAAGTAAAATAGTAGAAACAATAATATTTTAGTTTAAAACATGTTACATTTCTCTAAGACGTCTTCCTGTATTTTGAATACCAGTCAGTTTTTCCTTTTATAGGTTTTTATAATTACCACTTTTATGTACAACAAGTTATTATTATATAATATTGTATTTTTTCTTTGCTTTTAGACCTGATGATGACCCTAGAACCGAAACCAGTTTTAATTATTTAAAAAAAGGATATAATTGGATATATGATATAATTCAATACCTGTTGAGTTATTAGCCAAAGGAGTAGTTATTTTCCGAAGAGAAACGGTCGCTCCTATTTTGTGACATATGGCTTTTGGTTTTAATTATTTTATTTTACGTCTTGATCACATTTGAGTTGGACATATTTAGCTTTTTTAAAAATTGCCAGGCATTTGGTTCCACCTAGTTTTAGAACTGGTTACTACAAGCGATCTTTAATTTTTTACTAGAAACAGATGGCGACACCAATTTTACTACTTGAATCATATTCTTTTAGCCACAGAAGTAGTTGTTTTCCACCTTCGGCGTCGCGTTCCAAACTTCCCTTCTCAAAATAAAATATCACTTTTAGCACTTATATCATAAATAACTATTATGTGAAATTGATTTTGTGTGTAACTACTTTAAAATGCTTTAATTGATTTAATAATTTTTATAAAATTAATAGACAATTGCCATAATGGGCCATGTTCACATGTGAGATATGCTGTTTTATAAATTATATTGTAATAGTTAGTCGCTATACAAGTTATTCTAAATAGTCAGTTCGTTAAAAAAGCCAAAAGTTTTTAAATTAAGCCCAATTGAAATTTAAAATTTGAAATTATACGTCATCGGGAATAGACCAATCATCTTGTGTCGAAGTTTTTTTTGTTATACAAAACCAAGCCAACGAACAAACCAACACACAGAATGTCGAAGTGAACGCACATCTAAGTGACATTAAAATTGACACCTCCTAACATCAGTAACATATAACCTTAGTTTTTTGTTTTGGTTTAATTTTATTATTAATCTGAATTTATCTGGGTAAATTATCCTGTGGGATATAGCACAATAAAGGAAGAAGAATATGAATTTATCAGCTGTATTTATAAAAGTTGAATCAAGTATTTTTCCCATTGTAAACGAAAATATGATTACCGAGATGATTACTGCATTTTTTAACATTACTCAGTTTACAAAAGTCACAAAGGTAAGACTTTGTTTTAAATGTAGGTAGTTACAGTTTATATGGAGCAAGTAAAACATAATTATTTCAGGTTTTATTTTTAGATCTGCCAAGCAAGAATATGGGGATAATTTCTTTTTACATAAGAGAGAAGGAGACAAATTACACCTAAACATAAAGTACGGCAAAAACCTTCTGATGTGGTTGCATTGTAATTAACAAAAATGAAATTTTTAGTGCACAATATGCTTAGGATATGCTGCATGTCAAGGTTTGTAATATTTATTATGCTTTTTTGTTTTTATATTACATATAATAAACAGTGTATAAGGCCCTTTATTCCTATAAATATTTTTTTTCTAATTTTGACATACAGACATTTTTTGTAATCGCAGCAAGTGTTAAAATAATCTAGAAACAGATTTTGTTAGTGAACCTAGTAATAATTATGATACCAAAGGATGCTGCAGAGCACCTATGAAATTTTGAGTTAAAAAATATGCCATATTTTTAGGCTATTTTTATACCCTTTTCAAAAATTTTATGCTCCTCGTTTTTTACAAAACTTAAAATGCTCTATAGCTTCGAACAAAGTCAGCAAAGCACCTCTATTTTATAAAGTTTTTTCTGTAAAAACAGCAACACCATATATTTATGCACTTGAAATATTATATTTTTAAAAATACATGGTGCTTGCTAACCTTCGAAAGAAGCCAGCAGAGCAATTCGGTTTTTTAAAGCTTTTTTCTAAAAACCACACCCCATTTTTAGAATATTTTTAGACTCTTGAAATATTGTAAAACTTTACTAAAAAAATTGCTATTTTTAAATAATACAGGGTGCTTTGTTGGAACAAAGTCAGCAGTACACTTCAGTTTTTTAATTTTTTTTTTTATATATAAAAACAACTAATACTTATGACACATGTTTAGGCTGTTTTAAAATCCTAAAAATGTGGTAAGTACATTTGTTTTCAGAAAAAAACTTTGAAGTCAGCAAGGAATTGCGAATTTTTTTTAAAATGCCAAATTTCGAATATTTTATAATATTGTAGGAGCCAAAAAACGTGGTGTGGTTTAAAAAAAAACTGGGGTGCTCTGCTGGATTCGTTTGAAGCTAACAAAGCATCCCGTAATTTTTTATTTTATAATACTCAATAGCCTAAAATGAGACATAGCTGTTTAAACAAAAAATTGTATTTTTAAAAATAGCAGTTTTTTTCGAAAAGCTCTATAATATTTCAAAAATGTGAAAATGTGGTGAGATTGTTTTTTTTTTAAGTTTTGAAAATCCAAGTTTCTTTACTGGATTCGTTCAGAGCTAGTAAAGCTCTGCTCGTCTTGTTACATAAAATAAAGGCATTTTGTAGCTGGTTATATAGTTATTTTGTAACTGCATATCTAACCCTTTTATTTTTTTCAGTTGGTTGTAAATATGTGGCTTCATAGAAGAAGTGAGGAACCATCTGTAATATCTATTCAGTGTTATTGGAAAGGCTCTAATTTATCAAAATGCGTAAATATTGATGTACACTTGGCTAGATTGTTAAAGAAACCTCTTCATCCACTACAGGAAAATAAATCAGTACTTTTATATTCTTAGGATTTGTATATATATT